GAATGTCTTTGTAGAGTTCTGTAAGTATCTTTCAACAGCTGATTTCAAGTAACTGGCATGAAAGGAGTGCTGAAATCCTGCATGACCAGTATTGGGGAGAAAGCATCTTAGAGAACCTCAGCCACAAAGGGAGTGCCTTGGTTAAAATGATGTGTGGGGACTCTGTCTGGCATGGGAGCTGAGGGGGAGTGGTGGTAACTTGTTGGGATGTTGGTGCTAGCTGTGTTTTTGTTATTAACAGATGCCCCCTGGTGTGGCCACTGTAAGCAGCTGGCTCCTATCTGGGACAAGCTGGGAGAGACCTACAGGGACCATGAGAACATTGTCATTGCCAAGATGGATTCAACAGCCAATGAAGTGGAGGCTGTGAAAATCCACAGCTTCCCCACACTCAAGTTCTTCCCTGCAGGCTCTGGCAGAAATGTAAGGCAGCAGCTGAGCTCTATACAGATTGCACAAGGGAGCACTAGAAATGCTTAGTTGCCTGCTTGAGTTCTGTTTTGGACAAGAGCTTTGGGAGGGCTCTCTATTCTGTAGGGATGGAATACATTGAGTCTACAGGACATCAGAGACCCTTCGTGGGGGGGCTGGGCTGTAAGAAAGAGTTTGGCAGGGGGCGGAAAGTGGGATTGGGGAAACGAGGGAGCATAGCAGAGGACCATGTGCTCATCTGCAGGCTATTCTTTCCTCGCAGTGATCTCTGAAGTCTAGTGGCTGAGCTGTTTTCCTTCGTCTCATATGGGTGAAGGTGAATTTTTAAATTCCCTTTTGCTTGGCATGTTAACTTTTGCTCAGAAAGAGAATTCTCCTCTCCAGGGGTGTGGTTCTGTAGGTGCCCATAACCATATCTTGATGCTTTTTCCCCTGTAGGTAATTGACTATAATGGGGAGAGGACATTAGAAGGCTTCAAAAAATTCTTGGAGAGTGGAGGTCAGGATGGGGCAGCAGCTGATGATGTGAGTAATGTTAATACATGAGTAATATCAATACAGTACTCTGGGCATTCAGAATATGGAACATGGGTTGGATCTGGTGCTGTGCTTGAATCCTCAGTCCTAAATTAAGATCCTGGGTTGTTAATGTGGTGGGAAAGGATACTTTTGCTGAACAAAAGTGCCCACATAATAAAATGTGACACATTCAGTTGCACAAGCTGTCTCAGGTTGTTGTGCAAACTGCTGGACTACTTAAGGGCTTGTTCTTCATCGAGAGCTCCTGCTCAGCACCTGGAACTTGAGCAGTGTGATGTACAATATGCAGTATATCTACTTGGAAGCTCCTCACCTGCTGGGGTGGAGGGTTACAGGTGCAGGTACCAGCTTCTAGGGGTTTCTAATCCTTAATGTCCCAAATACAGAGCTGTGGAGGTTTTGTTAACATGGCAGCAGAGAACAGTGAACAGATTAGAGATGCTGTTCTGTGCTTGGTTTTGGATCTGCCTGATGTGCCAGAAAGCAGTAGCTGTCTTTGTAACCTGTACAGGATCTGGAGGACCTGGAGACGGATGAAGAAACAGACCTTGAGGAAGGTGATGATGATGAGCAGAAAATCCAAAAGGATGAATTGTAAAGAGAAGACTGATCTACATCACCCAAAAAATCAGACACTAAATTGGCTGCTGTTATGCAGCCCAGTGAGTCAGAAACCCATTAAGATTTAAAGCAGAAGGAGAATGACTGGAAATCCAGGGATTGGCTTTTAAAGTAACACTTCACCCTCACTTGTCTGTACACTTGACTATCTTTTCTTTCTTTTCGCTTTTGAGAAGGGATCTGTCACTAGGTAGCCAGCCCAGCCAGCTGGGCTCATTTTTTTATTGTGATGTACTTTTTTTGTACACAGCTTTTGAAGTACTCTGTTCTTCTGAGTAGAAGCAGATTGTGAAGCAGTAGCATGAGTTCAATGGCCCAATGTGCTGGAGCCTTGCCACTAACATCTTCCAAGAAAGCTTTTTTTTCCTTTTTTTCCTTTTAAAACTAAGCCCAGAGTTGATTTCCACACCTGGCAGGGTCCTTAATGGTCTTGGCTGTTCTTCCCTGGATTGGCCTTTGGTATATGTAGGGGGAGAGGCAGTAGGCTGATGGCATCATCCTGGTGAAAGGTGTATATGAAGGGGCTTCTCTTCATGCTGTCCGGATGTTTCCTTCCCCCTCTGCTTTAAGACACTTAGAGATGACTATTCTGAACACCTGGAAGGGTGGAATACTGTGTGCACTGGCTGGGGCAGGCTCTGAGGGTGGAGGTGGTCACTGGCTCACCAGCTTACACAAGACCTAGCTGTGTTGCCATCCTTTCGATCAAATGCAAGACTGTTTTGCAATCACTTTCCATGCATTATTTTGAATGGGCTGACCAGGCAGGTGGGTGGTGTGGGAGGGCCTGATAAAACAGATCAAACAGGACATTTGCAATTACTGGGTTTTGGGGAGGAACTTGAACAGGGGAGTGCTTCAGAGGCCTGAGCTGTGTCAGGCTGGTTCTTAGCATTCCGCTACAATGACATTGGAACTGAATTTGTTGGCCAAATAAAGTTGAGATTTTAATACTATTAGGTCTCTTTGTCTTTATCAGAATATAGAGTGAATATATTTGAACCTGCCCTGAAAGAGGATCAGAGTTCTAGAGTGATTCTCAAGGTACTCAGCCAAAATGGTGTTTGTCACCTGTCTCAAACTTGCACTAAATATGAAAATTCTGAGAGAAACTACACTTCCAGTTTTGTGGGTGGCTTCTGGTACCTTAACCTGAAGAAATTCATGTTTCAGAATCTATAAACGAAAAGAACTTCAAGATGACCATGTCATGTCCAGGTTAAATCAAGCTCTATTAGCAGTGAGCGGATGTTGGCTTGGGCTCTGAGAATAAGCGCTCTGCTTGCCAGCTGGCCTGAGGTGAGGGACCTCGTTGCTCTTGAGCAGTTAACCAAGGAATTTGCCTACAGGGAAACCTGGGGCTGCCTGTAGCTCTGCTAGTCAGGCTCACATGATCCAGTGAGCTACACTGCTATTTCCAAACCAGTCACTTACTGCTGAAAATATTTTTGTAAGAAAATATGCTATAAATGTCACATGGGAGGGCATGGTGAAGCTAGAGGGCAACTCAGGAGGCCACTGATGCCTGTCACTGAATGTGGGTGCGCTGGGGTGGTACAATGTGGTTGTACAACGCTTGTCCTCAGCTCCAGCCTCATTCCCTGGGAACAGGGCGCACAAACCTTCAGTGCAGCAGCACCAGGGCTGGGGCTGAATGGGCAATTGCTGACTGTAGGATCAGAAAACAGAGCACTGCTAGTAAGAAGTTCTGCTGGAAGGTGCTGGCTAGAACTAGGCCCAAAAAGGTCTGTTTTGTGGGACCAGTTAAAGTGTAAACAAGGCTGAGCTCTGCAGTGGTTCTCTTGTTTATGGTCTGAGACCAGCCTTGCTCAGCTCAGAGGCTTTTCTGATATGTCAAGGCTGCTCTTAGCAGAGCAGGACTCAGAGTCATCTTGTGTCCACAGCTAATTGCCATTCCAAGAAAACAGGCTAAAAGTGTTCTGTCTCCACAGCAGATAGCTCAGCCTCCTCTTGCATGGTGCTCTGACGTAACCCTGAGCAGAGACGCTCGGCAAAAAGATCAATGTGTTTGCCTGATGGTGAATGAGTGTGGGTGGTTCTCAGGTGTGTGGAGCTGTCTGCCCCACTGCTGGCAGGGATTTGGGACAGGGGTCTGCTGCAGAAGGGGCAGAATGAAACCTCTGTGACTCCTAATGCAGGACAGGGATTTTTCCTGACACGCTGCAGGGGAGTTCATTGTCCTGCCTGGACAATCCCCATCAGCATGAAATGGCACAATATGCTTGCATGTCTGAAATGACTGAACTTTGATGGGAAAAAGCATGGAGGAGCAGCTGTTGCTTGAACCCTTGGACCTGAAAGATTCTTCTGTAGTAGGTGGTTCATTTTGGCCTTTGACAGCTACAGCTGGAGAGTACCGAATGTGGGAACTGTCTGGTGGTGGTGCTGTTCTTCAGCTGTTCTTCTGAGGCTGCTCTGTAGAAGCCTGCCCTTACGTAGCAGCTGGTTCTGCATTAGAAGTAGGACATTGAACCCCAGGGACTGGCATTGTAGGCGCCTGGTTCTGCGTCTGCATCGGGAGCACCGGCAGCACCTCTGTCCTCACAAGGGTGCTGATGACATCCAATGTGCTGGTGTTCTCCATGCTCAGCTGTACGCAGTCTTGCAGTCGTGCCGGGCAGCTCATTCTGCTCCTTTCAAGTCGTCTGATGCAACTACAGGAGAGTGACTTAGCTCTGAATGTATTTGGCACCAGAGCTCTGACACGTCTGCATTGCGCTGGCTGGTCGGTACATGAGCGGCTGCTTCCCCTCGCTTGGTGATCATGTTTTGTCTTTTCCCTGCCACACGTGTGTGCGTGTGTGAGGGCTTGCTGCCGGGAAGTTCCGTTTTTGGGCCATTGGGCTCCTCTGAAGGGCTATCCATGCAAAAACAGAGTAGATTTGACCCCTTGGATGGGCACGTCAACAGGTGGGTGGTAAGATGAGACACCAACTTCTGCCCAAAAGTGGGAGGCTGCGCGCTGGGCGGCTCGATTACAAAGTATCGTGGCAAATAGCATGAGCTGCATGTCCTCAAAATAGCCCACAGGAGCCTATATAACGCCATGGCCCTGGAGAACCATCAGTCCTGGGCCACGGGCCTGCGGGTGAACTGCGTGTGCCCAGCGCTGCCTCCTGCGTGTGGCAGGCGAGTACAGGGAGAGCCCAACGGCCATCACTCCCCTGAGGAGAGGGGGACTCACTCGGGCACGGGCACACAGGGAGCACAGCGGAGCGGGTGCCATCACACCTCGGTAGCGCGGAGGGCCCTGACAAGCAGAAGAGGAGAAAGCAGGGCTTCAAGGCCAGCAAGTGGAAGGGCCAAGGACCAAGCAACTCCGGCTGCTCCTACAGCCCCCCGAACCTCTGCCCCTTCCCCCGCAGTGTCTGAAGGCTGCGATCAGCATGAAGGACTATTACCCAGTCTCAATGCCCCGGTACAGTCGGTACGCCCGGAGACTCAGAGCCTCACGCAGCGTGCACTTCCCCAACGACATCGTCTTTCAGGACCACATCAGGCAGGGGGACCTGGAGCAGGTGGGCAGATTCATACGTGCCAGGAAGGTGACGCTGGACACCATCTACCCTTCTGGTGAGTGCTGCCGGGGTTGGCAGAGCTGGAATCTGCACAGTGGCACGTCTCAGCTGGGCTGCAAGGGAGAGAGTGAGCCATGCGGCCAAAGCTGGGACATGGGCTGCCTTCAGCAGGGTAACAGGTTGGAATTGAGTCATTTTCCTCCCTAGTGAGGAGCAGTGCCCCCAACATCACCAAGCAGGGCCCAAGAGCCCCATGCCAGTGCCCCAACATCTCCCCTCAACAGCGTGGTCAGCGCACACTGCGGGAAGGGGGGGGGGGTTACCCCTGGGTCCCTTCAGGTACCTGTGTGGTGGGACCTAGAGGAGGAGCCATGAGTGCAGGCTGGTCTGTGGAGCTCTGGACAGGACAGTGGGGCTCCTGCCTTTGGCCTTGGCTTGGGGGGAGAGTGGGGAGAAGCAAGGCTCTGCATTTTGTTCCTGGCTCTGTCCATTTCCCATAGCCACTGTTCTCTCTCGCACGTGTGGATCTGTGGACTCACAGCATTTATGTTTGTGGGGAAGGCATTGTGTTAAGTTTGCACCCAACCTCACCAGCAACTGTTTATGGAATGCCTTGATCTGCATTGACTGGGGCAGAGCCCAGATTTGTCCCTTTCTTGTGCTTGGCTTCAGCTTCTGCTGTCACACGGCCACAGAGGCAGGGTCTCAAATGACGCCGGCCTTCCTCCCATCTATACTGATTGCTTCATTACTTGCTCCGTAAGGAGCTTCTGAAACTTGGACAGAGCAGGACCCTGGGCACACTCTTCTCGTGTGCCCACGTGAGTCCCGGCCAGGACGCAGGAGAGCCAGGGCAGCTGCTCCACCATTAATCTGTCCTGCCTGGCTCGGTGGCAGGCCGTCTCAAAGAGGGTATTTATGCTGTAGAGGGGAACAGAAACCTGTGGCAGCTCCTCTTGCTTCCTCAGTCTCTGTTTCTTTCCCCAAACTCATCTCCCTGATAATGAGGTTTTGCTGGCACTCCTCTTTGCTGGACTGTGGACAACCTGCACTTGTAAGCTCAGCGTTGAGTCCTTCCCCAGCCCAGGGCTAACAAATCCTTTTCTTCTAGGCATGGCGGCCCTCCACGAAGCTGTGCTTACTGGAAACCTGGACTGTGTCAAGCTCCTGGTTAAATACGGCGCTGACATCCACCAGAAAGATGAGAATGGGTGGACGCCCCTGCACATGGCCTGCAGCGATGGCTATGCTGACATAGCCAGGTGAGAGGCACCTCGCCTGGGCTGTGATGGGTCACCCCTGTGCTGCAGAGCCGCGAGAACCAGAGCTGACAGTGACAGGGCTGCACCAGGCGCCAGGCGTCTGCTCCTAGGAGGGTGCCCGGTACCTGCGGCA